AAGATGGTACGACCTTTCCACTTCTGCCCCTTGTCCAAATCTTTGTGCCAAAAAGTGGATGTTGGCATGGACTGGGCTTCAAAAGCCACCACCTCCCTACTCAGTGTATCGTAGGTCATGGCAGGTTGTTCACTCATCTCAAAGAAATGCTTGTCCAAAGCATCGGGCATGGCACGGAATAGTTGGACTAGTTGGGTCTCAATTACTCCATGTCCAAGGACGACAACTAACTCGTCCATGACACCCTTGAGTGCCCTGGCGCTCTTCCAGTGACGGGAGTGGATGGTTTGCAACTTGTCAGAGGCCCTAAGCCCCCAAGTGGCATCTGCAAATCGCTCGCGAAGCAACTTAAAAAATTCACTCAGGGGGTGATCATGGAGGAGTAGGCTACCATGTCATTGTCGCATTTGGCGACGCGGGCAAGCGATCTGGCGAAACGAGACGCTTCACCTTTAAGGGCGTAAAAGGCGATAAGGACTTGCTCCTCGAGCAAGATCTTCTGAAGGTGAACATAAGAATTAATGTTCGCCTCCTAGTTGTCAAAGTTCTCTCCTTTCTTCCCACTGTAGGAGTCAAGGAACTTCACTTTCACTTGCTCTCTACGGTGGCGGGCTTCCTCCTCCTTTAGGTCAACAACCTTGACGCCTTCTATGGCGCCTGTGTAAAATCGCTCTGTATTCTCTATCCTTGCCTTCATTTCAGTGCCCACATGCATCATCATCTCACGTGCAAACTCTCTAAAGCCCAAGTGTATGGACTGTAAGGCGATATCTTGGACCCTCACGAACTGAAATTGTTCTTGTTGGCCTTCGACAAGACTTCTATGTTTCGAGTCAGGATTTTTATTTTTCCCTTAATTTCCTTCGTGCCGCTTGACTCCACTCTTTCCCTTCTAACATTGCTTTCCAAGGGGATTTCTTCCTCTTCTTCTTCTTCTTCTTCCTCTACCGCCTTCAACTTCTCTTCTTCTTCTTTCTTCAATCTCTTCATTTCCTCCTCCAGCTTCTTCTTCTTCGCCGCCTGCTCCTCCAATAAGGCCAACTTCTTTGCCTGCTTAATCAACTCCCTCTTCCCCTCTTTTTATTTTCTCTTTTAACAGGGCGGCGGCTTACTCTTCTTGAGCCTTAGTATACGGGGTGGTGCTCGTACCGCTTCGCAGGTCCATCATGGTGAAAGGTGCACAACCAAGTGACAGTTCCACTCCTCACCACTTAACTTCCACCTACTGGCTGACTCTCTAAGGAACACAGGACCACCTCCTTCAATCCAGCCAAGTTACCACAGCCGAAGGAAGCTTTCGCCACCACTGTCCGTTACAATCCTCGACCCAAATGCCCTGAATCTAGGGTCAACCCACCTAGCTTTCACTCCGGTTCAGAACCCTGTCAACTAGGGTCTCTAGCCTAGACCTATGGCTATGGTTGTCATTACAAGACTTCACTGCTGATCAGGACGCATTTAAGGAGATCCCCCATAACTCCTTAGGAATTCTTTAACGTCGCAGACAGGACGACGCGATCAGCAAGTTCTCTCAAGACTTAGGCAGTCGGTTGTGCAGCCCACAGCTCGGATTTTGGGCCAACCATGCCACACTGAGCAGCCCACCGCTCTATATCGGTCCGTGGGAGGGGTAATCCTTCGCGAAGTGTCAGTCGTCAGACATGGACAGCAGCCCTACTCATCTCGTGTGGGTTTGGTCAACGCAGCTCTATGACCACATACACGGAGTTCCTATCACCTGGACAGAAGAGACTCAATGCAGAAAGAAGAGACAAATAGACTTAGCAAGTACCATGGGGTGAGTGCACATCCATAGAGCGAGGGGATAGGCTGAAGGCTTGGCAAAATTATACAAACTCGAGCTTGGTCAGACTTCGATCAATGGCCTTGGTCAACGCCGGTCAACATTGCGGTCAGTGCTGGTAACCACCTTGGTCAACGCTGGTAACCACCTTGGTCAACGCTGGTAACCACCTTGGTCAATGCTGGTCAACATCTTGGTCAACCTCTTGGTCAACGCTGGTCAACCTTCTGGTCAACATCAGTCTACGCCTCAGTCAACTTCAGTAAGCTCGGCTATGGCTATCGACCCTTTCTCCTTCACCAACCTTCATCTTCCTCCTCTCTCCCCTCCTTTCTCTCTTCTACTTCACCCCGGCTATGGCTTCTCTCTCCTCCTTTGTCTCTCCTTCCTCCTTTACTTCTTCTCCTTCCCAACTTCGTCTTCCTCTACGTGTCCGAGCTCGGCGGCTATGGCCGCCACTTTCCTCCTTGAACCGCACAACCAATCTTGTCCCGCTCCTCTCTCTCTCTCTCTCTCTCTCTCTCTCTCTCTCTCTCTCTCTCTCTCTCTCTCTCTCTCTCTCTCTCTCTCTCTCTCTCTNTCTCTCTCTCTCTCTCTCTCTCTCTCTCTCTCTCTCTCTCTCTCTCTCTCTCTCTCTCTCTCTCTCTCTCTCTCTCTCTCTCTCTCGCTCTTCTTCTTCATCGTCGTTGTATGTGCAGGTGTGCGGCGTCCTCCTGCAGTGGCGCAGCTATGGCGGCTCCTTCTTCTTATCGACAACGACGATGGCGGGGTGGAACAACAGGAACCAGCTCCGATACCAATGCAACCATACTCGTCTTCTTTCTTACTCAGCATGCATGAAAACATATGCCAATCTCATTGGCGCCGAGTTCCCACACAAAGCTCAGAGATATCAAGGCCAGGAAAACAGTTCAGGTTCAAACTCGCTTCGAATGGCTATGGCGCCTGTGCGCCCCTCACAACACCCTTCCGACACTGTATCCACAGCAACTGTTCACCCACACGCTACGCTGGATCTCCCTGGATGTCCCACACATGCACACACTTCACTGGACACTCACACACATACACGCAATAGCCTATCTTCTGACCTAGAGCAGCTATGGCTGCCTCCTACTCTCTGCTACTAGCAGCTATGGCCGCTTCATCTCCCTAATGGCCCTCTTCTCCCTCGGGCACCTGCAGACCTCCTTGCACAAGGCGCTCAGGCAGCGCTTCCGCACGGCTCACAGTCTGAATGAATGAATAACTGGACACTGCCTCTTGATTTATACTTCGGTTGGTCGCTGGATACTGCTGACTAGGCAAGGTTGGACTACCCGACTTGCCCACTTGCCTCTAGCCTAACCTGAACAATTCTCAAAAGGCCACCTCCGGACCTTCCGGAAGTCTGTAGACTTGGCCTTTCGGAATTGTAGCAGCTAAGACCTTGAACCTTCAGGACTGTAGCAGATACGACCTCTACACAGCTACGACCCCAAATAGATAATCTATAAATATAGATTATCTATTTGTAAATATATGTTATTTCATTATATTATTATATTATTGATACATATAGATCCATAAATATCTTCTCTGAATATAAGATATAATATTATAGGATAAAGAATTCATAAATATAACAATAATGTAAATAAAAGAGAATGTCAAGAAAAAATTACAGTTTCTTACATTTCACTAATCAAAATCATAAAATTCTCTAGTATTAACTGAGCTACCTATCTGTGAGGAAGGCGAAACCGAAAGCAAAGAGCAGGGCTCATTGTTCCGTTCGCAAAGACGAAGATTTGTGGGAAAAGACGAGAGAGAGATGGCAGGGAGCCTCGGACATGCAGTTCATACAAGCCACATGAGTACGCCCAACAGGGTTGGATCTTGCGCGGGGGATTGGACCCCCTTCGGAAAAGACTTCTTCAAGAAACTGAGGCGTTTCATGCCTTGAGACTACCTTTTTTCCCCCGAATGCAGCGTACGGTAATTATAGCTGTATTTGGGGTATCTTTCAGCCTAAATACAGCTATAATGACCGTACGTTGTATTCGGGAGAAGAAGATAGAGGGTGAGTGAAGAAAGGTACATATCAAGGAACTCAGAGAAGGACTTAGACAAATGCTTGAGACCGAATGTATAGAGCAGAATGGGGAAGGACTTGGCATAACATTCACGCAGAACCAGAAAGTTCCCAGGCAATCTGGGAACACTTTGCACGAAAACTTTTGACACAGAGAGGGAAAGTACCAGCAGCCGACGAGGATAAATTAAAAGTGCCTGGGAGCACGTCGGATTCGGAGAGGGAAAGTAGCAACAGCCAAGGAGGGCAAATTGAGAATTCCACTGGGGGCTAATGCAGGTCATACAAGATTGTCAAACAAGCAGGGAGACGAGCGTTCGAGAGCCCATATCTGTCAGCTTGAAGACAGAGTAGGAGAGGAGAACAAGGGGCGAGGGAAGAACATTGCAACGCAGTCACGGGAAAGGGAGACGAGTGTTCGAGAGCCCCCTACAGCTGTCAGCTTGAAGACAGAGTAGGAGAGGACAGGGGGAAGGGAAGAACATTGCAACCCAGTCACGGGAAAGGAAGCTTGAGATGGGACTGCGAGAAAATCAGGCCATCAAAGAATGACTGAGAGAAGCTGCATGAAAGCCAGAGGGGAAAGCACCGGGATAGAGAGGAGAAGAAAGGGCTGCCTTTCCAAGTCAGGGCATAGCAGGTCACCTGCAAGGTTAAAGGCAGAGCAGGGGTTAATCCTTCCATGCGGAAAGCAATCAATGCCTCTGACTAAGGATCCTTCCGCCATAACAGAAGCAATTGTACAGTGAGAGATTGCAGAGAGAAGGCGGAAGGTGGGAGGCAGAGGAGTAGAGACAAACCCAACCGTGAACTTGGTGATGGTTTCCGATCCCAGCCGTGACAACCCAGAAGGGGGCTGCAACCGGTTCACTTTGTTAGAAGAACTCGTGCTGACACATGTCACACTACGGAATCAAACGTTTCACACTAGGGAATCAGTTGTGGGAATCAGTCGTGTCACACCAGGGAATCAGTCACACAATGGAATTTGACAATCTTAATTTCATAAATTCATACATTATTATGATATTCATTTGCCATGCACAAACAGGAAATCCAAAGCACCTCGAAAATCGTCCAGCTACGAACATGTCAAATGAACGCAGTAGATGGTACTCTCACCTCCGCAGCAGAGAGGGACTCATGATGACAGATCGCGATGGCAGACTGCCTGGACCTGATAGCGAAAACCTTGTTACTTCTGAAGAGAGCCTCGTGATCAAACCCTTCCCTGCAGATTGCTGGTGACCCCTCCACCCCCACCTTCTCTCTCTCTCTCTCTCTCTCTCTCTCTCTCTCTCTCTCTCTCTCTCTCTCTCTCTCTCTCTCTCTCTCTCTCTCTCTCTCTCT